AGGGATTAGAACAGGCCCTGCTACAAAACTCCCCCACAACCAAACATTTCAGAGTCCAGGCTCGCAAAGCTAACTCAGGGAGAGCTTTGCTCAAATTACTGAGCCGATATTATGTGAGTGCAACGTTGCCAAGGAAAAATGAGTCAGACACTAATCTCTTTGCTAGGAGATGAGGAACAAAAAAAGGCTGGCAGACTTTTACTGTTATAATTACCTGCTTCCAGAACAATAAAAAGGGGTTCAGATCTTCCACTTACAGTTGTACATTATTATATTCCCATAAAGCAACTTGAACTATTACCTCAACACGTAAGCCTTGGGCCTTTTGCCTTTCATCTGTGTTCAAGTTGGAGTTCCAACCATTAGAGGTTTAGAAAAAAAAAAAATTAGAACTAAAGTTTCCTTAGGAGGTTTTAGTTATGAAAATTGGAACCAAAGGACATTTAAACCTTGTTACTTTCTTGAAAGATCTTTTAAAGTTTAAAAATCCCTCCAGGGGGTAATGTAGGATCCTGGAACAGAAAAGAACATTAGGTAAAGTCTAAGGAAATCTAAATCATGTTTGGGCTTCATTTAAATTGTGTCAATATTGGTTCATTAATTGTGACAAATGTTCCACATTAATTTGAGTCGGTAACTCTGTGTGGGGGAACTCTTTGTCCTGTTGTCACAATTTTTCTGTAAACCTGAAACTATTCCAAAATAAGGGTTTTATTTACAAAGAGTGCCCCTGTTCTCACCGATGGCTCCTTGAAGATTGGTTTGGTGACAACAGCAGAACTCCAATAGGTAAAATCTGGACATCACAATTTGGGCTAAACCAAGTGCCTGAGAAATAGTGTCTAGACGTGACTCCACATGAATTCTTCAGACCTCCTGGCCACATAGAAGATTCTAGTTTCCTTAATGATCTTGGAGACCAGGCATTTCAGGGATGCAAGTGAGAAAATGACAAGTGATCCGTTTATGGGAAATAGATCAAAAGTGGGAAAGGAGAGGCATCGAGGAATATTATGGGAGCAAGTCCTGAGGGTGCGTGCGTGTGTGTATGTGTGTGTGTGTGTGTGTGTGTGTGTGTGTGTGTGTGTGTGTGTGTGTGTGGTGTCTCTGGACTTCCTTGTGTTCCCTTATTCTCAAATCTGGACTCAATTCCTTCCCCATGCTGCTTATTTGTTTTGGGGGATGATTTCTGTTTCTTCTCCACTAAGAAACTACCTTCAGCTCCTGAATTGTCTCCTAATCTCTCCTCTTTCGCGAAATTTTACTAGGCGAGGGGCTCAGGTGACAGACAAGCTCTTGCTTGTCTCCAACCTGTCTTGCTTGGAGTGCTACATCAGTGTACCATAAGATAAATTAACGACAAGCTTTCATGAGCAAATCTGTTATCACATAGAGTCTAGTACGTGTTTGTGTTAGATTTTTAAGCCACTCCAAAACGCCAGACTTTTGCTGCAGTCACTCCATTGGAACCGTTATCATCGGGTTCCCAGTGACTCCCTCCCCACCACGAGCCAAATGCAGTGATTAATTTCCTGGTCTCATTTTGCTTGACTTCTCACCAGCCCTTGGCACAGTTGCCTACTCCCTCTTCTTGAGTGAAGAACTTTCTGTTCTTCCACAATACCACATTCTCCTGGTTGTCCTGCTACTTCATCAGTTGCTCCCTTTTGGTCTCTTCGGCTGTCATCTAATCTTATTACCCTGCCATTGTTGCATGCCCCTGGCTTGGTTCCTGGTCTCTTCTCTGTGTACATGTCCTCCCTTGGTGATTGTACATCCCTCCATGGACTTAAATACCACCTATATGCTGATGATTAGCTCAGATATCCCCTGGGGTTCATGCTTGTATGTCCAGCATTTTACTGGATGGCTCTTCCTAAATGTCTAGTCGGCATTTCTAACTTAACATGTCCAATACACAGCTCTTCCTTCTCAAAAAAGTTCAGGTTCCTAGGTAAAGGAGAAATGTTACTGTATCAATAATTTATGATCCGGCCGGGCGCTGTGGCTCACGCCTGTAATCCTAGCTCTTGGGAGGCCGAGGCGGGCGGATTGCTCAAGGTCAGGAGTTCAAAACCAGCCTGTCTCTACTATAAATAGAAAGAAATTAATTGGCCAACTGATATATATAGAAAAAATTAGCCGGGCATGGTGGCGCATGCCTGTAGTCCCAGCTACTCGGGAGGCTGAGGCAGAAGGATCACTCAAGCCCAGGAGTTTGAGGTTGCTGTGAGCTAGGCTGATGTCACTGCACTCTAACCCTAACAAGAAAGTGAGAACTAAAAAAAAAAAAAAAAAAAAAAAAAATAATTTATGATCCCTCAGCCCTGCATTCCCAAGGCTAAGCTAAATATAGCAAATAGTCATTAATAAGAGGCAATGTACTTTAAAATAAAAAACACAAGAGATACATGTAAGTTGAAAACTGAATGAAATCATTAATTACACATATTTTAAATTTACTAATAATAATATTTAATGAGTACTTCTTTTGTGCCAGGTACTGTTCTAAGTACTTCACATGTTTAACATTATTTAAGTCTTGAAATAATCCTATAGGCAGATATTATGGCTCTATTTTCTTTCTTTCTTTTTTTTTTACTGACTAAGCTAGCTAGGCATGGCTCCATTTTCATATTAGAAAATGAAGACACAGAGAGGTTAAATAACTTGTCCAAGGTCACAGAACCAGTTAATAACGACTAAAATTTGAACCCAGACTGCCAAATATACTCCAGGGAGTCAGGCGGAAATTACGGCACTATTTCCTACCCAGGGTCATGTGCCTACTCAAGTGAAATTTCACGCTTCGTATTTTATTACCAAACTCTGTGGCCTTTAAATGGATATAGAAACTCCATGCTAAATGCTATGGTTCGCACGTGTCCCTCAAAGTGCATATGTTGAAAACTTAACCCCAATGTAACAGTCTTGAGAGGTGGGACCTTTAAGAGATGACTAGGTCATAAGGGCTCTGTCCTCAGCACTAATGCACTAAATGGATTAGTGCTGTGACTGTGGGAGTGGGTTGGTCATTGTGAGAGCGAGTTCCTGATAAAAGGATGAGTTTGGCTCCCTCCCTCCATCTCTCTCTCTCTCTCTCTCCCCCCCTCTCTCCCCTTTCGCTCTCCCCTTCCACCTAACACCATGGGATGATGCACCAAGAAGGCCCTCCCCAGAGGCAGGTGCCTTGACCTTGGACTTCCCAGTCTCCAGAACTATAAGAAATAAATCCCTGTTCTTTAGACATTACTCAGTCTCAGGTATTCTGTTATGGCAGCACAAAATGAACAAAGACACTAAATAAGGAAGGAACAAAAGGAATCCCTGGGTTCTATGATACAAAACATTTCAGAAACACTTTTTTTAAAAGGATGAATGTTTATAAATAAGATTTAAAAATAAGTTTAAGTTCATAGTCAGAATAGAGGCCAATCTGACCCAAGGGCGACTTCTGCTAACATAGCCACGGAATGTGGGACAAAGAATGTCTGAGGGAGTGAGCCACTGCAAGTCCTAACTGAAATACGTAGCTGCTGCTGTACCTTTCTGCTTGACACAGATCCTTGCAGGAGTGAATTGCACGAATGCATGCAAACCCTTGCAGGCTTTTCCTTTGAGTGACTTGGTATATGCTCGGTTAACTGCATCACTGGGGTTCAAATCCACAGCTCTGCACAGCTGCGCCTTGGTCCCTTGCCCACAGGACAGTGCGGTCTGTCTGCTGTCCTCACCGGGGGCCACTCTGACCTACTGGCTCCCACACTCTTAGATATGAGCCACTGGGCACTGAATTTTAAAAGCTGATAGTATAGTAGCTTTAAGCAATGAAAAATATTGTTGTGGAAAAGAAAGTTGGGAAATCCAAGTGAGCTCTTGAAAAGCACTCATTTCCATAAATACTTTATTGAAACTGTTATTTTCAGAAAATGCCCAATTTCTGTCAGAAATAAAATTTAATAAGAAGTCTTTTTTTCTTCCAAACATATTGCATTATTCAGTCCAAAAAAAAAAAGTAAAAAAAAAACTTCTCAAGGATTGAGCTTTTCAGTAAAAAAATATTCAAACAGATGAGGTCTGTTTTTTTGGTATCTTTTTAGGGATGAGATTTTTATAAATATTATGCACAATGTTTTTGAAACACTTCCTTTCCCTAATATACACCAACATCCTTTTTTTGCTAAAAACTTTCCAAAAACATGCTTCTTAAACAATGAAATATATGCAGGAATGTGTATGGTCTACTAATTTTGAACCAAAACATATCCCTCATGTTGGCTTTTGCTACATTATTTATCATAGTTTTTCCACTTTTGAATAAAAGACCGATTTTTAAAAAACAATTAACTATGTAGTCCAAATGTTAATCCTCATCTAAACTGAGATTCTTCTTCTGTTTCTTTACTTTCTAGAAAGTAAACTCTATAAAACCTGGCATGTAAATAGGCAAAAAATATAATACTATCAAAAGATAAAAACAGACCAAAGAAACAATATAAGTGTATGTTTTGAGAGTTCCCACTTTCTTTGTTTGAGATCACAATGAGAAAAAGAGATGCGATACATATCCCTTTTATTTAATTGTTATTTAGCATTGAAGAGCAGCAGTATAGCCAGATGTTTTAAAATAGAGACCAGAATCTCAGATTCTATGGAGATATCTGTTATATTAGACTCAAGTGAGTTTATCTATTTAGGGTTTAAATGAGAAGACCATTTCATTCTTTGCTAACCCCCAGAAAATGTTTCCTTTTAAAGGCAGGATCTCAGTAAAGAGCAATTCGTATGCCTGGAAGCCTAACAAAGTGTTTCGTAGTGAAAACCACCCATCTGTGTACATATGTTCAGGAAATGCAAATGCAACAAGAAGGAGGTGACCCTGAGAGCGGCTCTTCAAACCATCCCAGTTCCTGCCATGCACAAGGAATTCTGAAGCTCTTAAAAACTGTCTATCAAACTAGACATGCTTTTTAAAAAAGAGGAACAAAGAATTTACTTACATCTCGGAGTTGCACGGCAAGGCCTGGCCTCTCTGCCCAGCAGACCTCTGCCTGGCCACTGATCTTTCACCCTGGCTTGACAGCTGGTTTAATCTGCGAGAGTCCTGGTGGAATGCGTGGTCTTGCACTTGCTGTTCTTTTCCGGCTTCAGAGGGCCAGCGGCCTGGTCATTTCCATGGCAACCAGGAGGAAGCGGCTGGCCTACCAGTTTCCTTAACCACATGCAGGAGAGAACCTGCCCTGGCGACTGCTGGCCACTCTTCTGGGATTCTGAGCCGGGAAGTTTCTAAAAGAAAGTGAGGAGACTGCTGCTATAGGCTGACCCCAAAGGATTGACACAAATGGAAGAAATTCTACTGTAGCAGGAAATTGAATGGATTAAATGTAGAAAATAGAGACTCCTTGATACTTTTACTTTCATAATTTGTTCCACTCTTTTCAGCCTGTTGAATCATGACTTAAGGCAAATGTTTGCAGTCGTGTAAAAAGGTGTCCTATTGTGGTCGTTCCAAAGGGAAAAATTCCAACTCCCAAGATGTAGTCGTGTTCTCTCTTTTTTTCAAGTTCAATTAAAAATATATATATATCAGAAGCCACACAATTGATAAATATGGAAAAAATATTCTAGTACATTAACTGATGTCTTAGTCCATTTGGGCTGCTATAACAAAATACCACAAACTGGGTATCTATTTATTTCTCACAGTTCTAGAGACCAAGAAGTTTAAGATCAAGGTGCTGGCAGATTTGGTGTCTGGTGAGGGCCTGCTTTCTGGTTCATAGATGGTGCCATTTAGCTGTGTCCTCATGTGGTGGAAGGGAGAGAGCTATGATCTCTTGAGCTGCTTATAAGGGTAATAATCCCATTCATAAAAGCTTCACCCTCAAGACCTAATCACCTTCCAAAGTCTCCATCTCCTAATACCATCACATTGGGGATTAGACTTCGACATATGAATTTTGGGGAGATGCAACCATCCAGTCCTTAGCAACTGATGAGGACTCATGAAATATGGAAGAAATGAGATGGACGGTGGTGATGAAGGAAAGTGTCATTAATTAAAAACACTAGGGGACTAGAGCAGTTGATTTATAATTATTTGGATACTGATTATCTACTATTTTAAAAAGAGAGCACTTCCCTAGGGAAATTCATTCATTCAGTCAATTCACTTGATTATCCATCTAGTGAATCCTTACCACACACATGCACTGTGCCAGGAGATTTAAAAGACACAGAGATCAATGTCATGCTTCTTGTATTTAAGGAAGTTAGAAGGGGCAGTTATATAAGTTGATAGGGAGAAATGTTTGAAGGGAGGTGCAAATACAATACATGGGAGTCTCAGAGGAGGTAGGGCTACCTTTTTTCAAGGATATTGAAGAAGTCTTTGTGGCAAGGTAGTATTTTCTCTGGGCCTTAAAGGATGGCCATAAAGGATGGCTAGGATCTGGGTAGTCAGATATACGGGGAATGGACAATAGTGTCTCACAGAGTGATTCTTTGACCAGTGGAGGAAGCAGGCCGATAGATACATCCCTTCTCCTCTTCCAGCCCAGACGATTCCTACACACATGGCTTCTCAGGTGGCCAGCAGGATAAAGAAACTCAGCAATTAAGAAAATTGCTGGAGCAAAGATTTGGAGATGGGAAAGTACCAGCCTATTTAGCTATTTTGAAAGCCCATGAATCATAGTTAGGATTAAAGCAATTGAGAATATACAGAGTCTACTGCTGTTGGGTGTTTAGTTTCAGCAACACAGATGCATAAATTCTACCATATGACAATAGCAAAGCGGATCTTGGTTCAGATCCTGATTCTGTTACCTTCTTGTGTGCTATTTAAACTTTATGAGCTTTAGTTTCCTTATCTGTAAAGTGGAGATAATAATAGCTTGGGGAAAGGTTGAGGTGAAGACTAAATGAGATAACGTATGTGGACAGGATGCCTAAGAATGAGGGAGGGGAAGGCTGGCCAGTGAAATACCAGGTGTCTCAACTTCCCAGAGCAACCGTGGCTAATCCAATGGTTTGACGTACTCAACCTCTGTTCCAACACCTTTCTCTCTTGCCTGCCTCTCCTATAGAGACTGGAAAGCTACAATCCTCAACTCAGCACAGTCTCTCGCAGCTGGGATTCCAGATATGATTTAAGTTTTATTAATTATCTATACTTGTTTTGGAACATAGTCACGTGGAGAGAGGACCATGTGACTTTGGGAATTGAGTGAGATGAGAGAGAGGAGAGTACTGGGCATCTCTTGCTGGCAGGGGTCTCAGCATATGTGGCATGGCCTGGGAACTAGCTGCTGTGGGGGGTGGCTTTCTGACTGAGTTGCTTCCTGGTTGTGGCAGGTGTGGCATGATTCTGAGTGTCACTGGCTTCCTGTTGGAGGATGTGGCCTCTTCATCCAGAAACTTCCTGATTTGTGGGAGAGGCAGCAGTTTCTTGGATGGCCCAATTCTCTGGTGACTTTGAGAGTTCAGCCCAGAGTCCATTTCTTCCCAATGACTCAAGGAACTATCTGTGTGTCTTGAGAAATTCCTGGTTTAAACCAGCTAGAGTGGACTCTGTTGTCTGTAACCAAGAACAGTGAGAGACACAACAGTGCCTTAGTTGTGGCCGATACAAGGTAAGTGGAAGTTTGCTAGTACTGACTCTTCCATTTTGTTTTAAGAACTAAGATAAACGACAGTAAGTATTTAGTGTAAAGTGGGCACATAGAAGGCAGTCAATAATGGTAGCTATTATAATTATTACTTTTTGCAACTTTATTCATGACCTAGGTGCCTTCCTGGACTTCTTGCTTAGTGAGGCACAAGGCTGAAGGCAGAGAAGGGGGACAGGTACCTCCCTGGAAACCTGAAGGCCAAGCACAGAGCCAATGACGAAATGTGGCTGCAGCTTTGTGTGTGGCGTGTTAAACGTTTACCACAGGTTATACCTCTCCCTATCATTTTAAAGCATTCACTTCCATTCATTCTTTGTGTTAACTGGGTCATGTCGTTGAAGTTGATTTAGCAAAAATGAATGTTGGGAGAACTAATAAAACCACACCTTAGACTGCCTGTTTTGCTCAGCTGCGGAGTCAACGGGTGGTGGACAAGTGTTTGTTCACCATGGGATTGAATTCTACTTTTGTCCTTGACTACTTTTTGTTTGCTTTCTTTCTTTTTTAATCACAAAAAGCCACATAGGTTCCCGATAGCACATTCAGATAATACCCGGTGTATTAAGTAAAAGGGAAAATCTACAGCCACCTTTCCAACTTATCTTGCAGAAATAACATCTGGCGTAAGTCTGCATTGAAGTAAATCTTGCTTTGTTTTCAAACCTTAGCAATTGCTTTGATTGTTAACGAACATGCCCTTTACCACAAGGCCTCAAATTCCACTATTTCCAACCTCACCTATGTAACCGCCGTGAAATCACTACCAGTATGTTCTGTGACTGTTTCTTCCATCCTGTGCAACTTCAGGGGCCGTCTCAGGTTCTCCCTTTCCTTCCCAACTCCTTCTTTGGCAACTTCAACTTGCTGCAGGATATGGACATTCATGTCCTCCCCTAGTGGCCTTGAAGTGTCCTAGACCTTGCCGTCTGCACAGGGCTCTGTGTTTATTGTTTTTCCTACACTCCCGCCCTGCTCCGTTCTCACAAAACCCTCCAGATATCTGGCTTTACCTTATGTCTTCTATCCATCCTTGACTCCATCACCCCCTGCCTCCACACTGCCCCACCCCGACTCCGGTGACCCCCCCATCCACCCATGACCTTTGCTCTCTGCTCCATGCCAGGCCCCCTGGCTCACCTCCGCCACCTGCTTTCTCAGCTCCTACTCTCAGGGTGCAGGCACCACGGGAAAATGCAAAGAACCAACGGTTCCTATGGCTGGGATTCAAAGAACCCCTGACGCTATCCCACGAGTCTTCCAGCCAGCTCTCGCCCAGGGGCTCTGATAACTCCTCTCCACGTGTGTCACATACTCGCTTCCATCAGCATCCCCGTCCTTGTAGGAATGCCTTGCTGGGAAGAGGAGCCAGGACCTGCTGGGCTTTCTTACCATCGTGCTCACACCAACGTTCTTCTTCTTAGACCACAAACATCTTGGATCAGGCACTCTTTAGGCATCACTTCGGACCCTTTCAGCCACGCCTGACTTTAATTCACACGTGGTGACCAGCCCTGCCTCTGACTAGCTGCATGCAGAGGCAAACCTCGTGCCTCACATCCTAAGGACTCTGTCTTCGCTGCAGCGTGGGACCCTGCAGGCACCGCCTGGCATCCTGGTAAGTGCAACCTAGAGTGTCGGGGAGTTAATGTCTCAATGCAGTGCTGCTGTGACCAGTGTGGGTTGAAACTGGCAGGTAAATGCCTCCCCACTTCTCACACCAGACAGGCAGTCCTGAGACATGTAGCCACGTGGCTTCTCAGGTGGCCCGTGGGATCAAGCAGCTCAGTGACCGACCTTGTGCTGCCTCTCACTGCCGCCCTGTCCCTCACTCCTGCTTCTGGGTATCACGCTCCCTAATACATTTCTTGCATCTCTCTCTCTATTTTTTCTAATTTTTTCTGCTCTCTGGGGAAATCAGGCTGAGACACATCCTTTATTATTTCCTGATTCTAAAATAAATTCTTTTCCCTGTGAGCTAAAACCAGCCTTTCCCAACCCCTGAGAGAGTTTCTACTATAATGGAATGATAGCCTCACCTCTTCCAATAAAGAATCTTTAATTTTTTTTTTAATTTCTATTTTTTTTTTTTTTTGTAGAGACAGGCTCTCACTTTGTTGCCCAGGCTGGTTTTGAACTCCTGACCTCAAGTGTTCCTCCCACCTTGGCCTCCCAAAGTGCTGGGATTACAGGTGTGATGGTTTTAAGGAATGTATCCTGAGAGCTTCAGAAAATCCCACTTTTTGGAGTACCTCTCATATATATAATTACCTCTATAAAATGGTGAGAAGAATGCCTGAAGCATCAAAGTGATATCTTCAGTCCCTGGGGGAGGGTATCTAAAGTACTAAATAATTTGTCAGCGCACATCATCTTAATAGCGACATTATCCATGAGCTTATCTGGATCTATGAAAACAAAGCAGCAGGGTCCATGTCCCTCCACGACAGTTACAGCCTGTACAGAGCTTAGGAGAGAGTGACAGGCATGATCTGACACAGATGTTGGGCAGCTGGCTAGGGATGCCCTCCAAATAAGTGACTCACTCCCGTGCTGCAGTTTCTCAGCAGATGTGATTCCAATGGGCCTTGGCAAAATTTAAAAATTGCTACACGTCTTGGATCCTGGGGATCAATGTCAAATGGTGAGAACCATGAATGTTAAAGCCATAAAATGCCAGGCACCCACTGTACTTTCTATCTCTTAATCTCTGCTGTCTGCACTTTGGGTTTCAGACGTCCACAACCTCTTCATCCGGAAACGGATAAACAAGCCTTCACTCGACTCTACAGCGCCACTTAGCTGTCATCCTATTGTCACATCCTATTGTCACATACGTCCGCTGGAACTTCACTCTGCAGGGTCTCCCAGGACTTGCTTTTCAAATCTAGTGACTCCTTCTAAGCTTTCCTCTACTTCCCCTCTCTGTGGTAGGTGACTATTAACCAACCTTTCCTAGGTCCCTCGTTGTCATCTGTGATTTCACGATTTTTTTCTGGTGTTTCTCTTGTTTTATTGATCATGTCCTCTCTCTGTCTCTCCTTGCTTCGAGCACTACTGAAAGTGCAGTCCTTGACTCTGATCTTCTTCATGAGTTCTTGTCACTTGTTTCACTTATACGAGGGTCACCCCCACTTGGAGAACAAACTCAACACTGACCCTTAGAAATAGGTTTGTCTTCTTGATATTCAGTAGCCTATTCTCAGTCTGGATGCTTCCAGAGATGAAGGGCTTATCTCCTTACACGACAGTTTTTTTTTTCATTTTTGGAGAGCTCTTCTATGTAACAGGGTTTTTTTATGTATGGCTGAACTTGTCTCCTAGTCATTTTGAGGCATTGACTGTTTTTCTGCCTTACAAAGCAACTCTTTCTTCCGCTAACCCTTAGCAACACTCTGTGGACTCATAGGAAGCTTCTCTAAGTCACTCAGACCCAGAACTCTAGAAACATTTTGATTCTTCCTTCTCTTTTAATCCACAGAACAAACAAATCACCAAGTACTGTAAGTTGTATTTTGAAATTTCTCCTGCAGAAATAGAATGTTTCAAGGCAGAATAATGAAGTATCATAGAAATAACTTATCTCAAATTAATTTGCAGGGCTAATGCAATAGTGATTTTAAAACATCCAATGGTGATTCATATAACTATCAAAAGAGTTGATATGAGTATTCTGAAGTTCAACTGAGGTAATAAAGAAAGAATATTCCAATAATTAAGAGTGATAAGGGGAGATTAATTATATGAGTTATTAAAAGAGTCATTAAAATAGTGCGGTACTGACATGGACATAGATCAATGGAACAGAACAGTTTAAGCAAGCCAGAATTACAGTTTATTAAATATAAAAATTTGATAAGCTGGGCACAGTGGCATGCACCTGTATTCCCAAGCTACTTGGAAGGCTGAGGTGGAAGGGTCACTTGAGCCCAAGAGTTTGGGGCTAGCCTGGTAATATAGTGAAATGCTATCTCTAAATAATAATAATAATAATAAATTTGATATGTAAAAGAAGGCAATACATATCAATGAGGAAATTAAGATTGCTCAGCAATGATTTGGAATCACTGGCTGTGAATTTGGAGGGAAATCCAAATATAGGTTGTCACTATATATTGAATGAAGTCCTTTTGGGACTAATGCATTTTAAAAAACATAGAAAAATAGGAAGATAATTAACTGAATAGAGATTAAATCTCTAGAACACTGAGAAACTTTTAAGATAATAAGTACTGATTGATCTCTTATCCAAAATGTTGGGGACCAGAAGTGTTTTGGATTTTTGGACTTTGACATATTTGAATATACATAATGACATATCTTAGGGAGGAGACCCAAGTCTAAACATGAAATTTATTTATGCTACATATATACCTTATACACATAGCTTAAAGTCAACTTTGTGCCATATTTTTAATAATTCTGTGCATGAAACAAAGTTTTGTGTACATTAGACCATCAGAAAGTGAAAGGTATCACTATCTCAACCATCTATGTGGACAATTTTTGGTTGTTTGGTATCACCAACAATTCCTGTATTTTTTTCTTTTTTTGAGACAGGTTCTCACTCTATCACCCAGGCAGAAGTGCAGTGATGTCATCATAGCTCACTGCAACATCCAACTCCTGGGCTCAAGCCATCCCTGCCTCAGCCTCCTGAGTAGCTAGGACTACAGGTGTGCACCACCATGCCCATATAAGTTTTTATATTTTTTGTAGAGATGGGGTCTTGCTACATTGCCCAGGCTGGTCTTGAACTCGTGATCTCAAATGATCTTCCCATCTCAGCCTCCTAAAGTGCTGGGATTATAGGCGAGAGCCTCCACCCTGGTTGGCATCACCATCATTCTTGACTCTGAATTTACATGCTACCAATAAGAATCATTTCTTACATTTATTCACACATAAGTACTTAACAGTAAAAAACATTCTAAAACTGATTGTGGTGATGGTCACACAGTTCTGTGAATTACTAAAACCATTGAATTTTGTACTTTATAAGGGTGAATTGTATAGTACATTAATTACATCTCAATAAAGTTGTTTAAAAAAGAAATAATTGAAGAAATCAGAAAGGAAATGTATTAGGGCTTTCTGGAGAAAAAAAAACAATAGGATACATAGAGATATATAGAAAGGGATTTATTATGAGGGGTTGGGTCACACAATATGGAGGCTAAAAAGTCCTATGATTTGCATTTGCAAGCTGGAGTCTCAGGAAGGGCAGTGGTGTAGTTCTAGTGCAAGCACGAAGGCCTAATACCCAGAGGAGCCAATGCTATAAGTCCAGGTTTGAGCCCAAAGGCCTGAGAACTAGGAATGCTGACGTCTGAGGGCAGGAGAAGACATCTACCCCATCTGACACACAGAGCAAATTCACCCTTCCTACACCAGCTATAGCTTATTAACCCTGATTTTGCAAAGAGCTCAATTTGCCAAATATTTGTTCAAGTGGGAGGGGACTCAGGAGATCTGGGAAACAAACTGGCCCAGATATTTAAGCAACCAGTGTAATGGGATGGGTAATTTATGCATCTGGGTAGAAAGCCAGTGCTTAGGGGATTCGCTGGGCTTAGTGCCTGAATCGCCACCAAACCTGTGCCTTCAGCTGAGCTGGGGCTCCACTGGCTGCCTGCCAAAGGGCAGGTGGCTGGAATCCACTGACAGCTACACCACAGTGTGTTCTGGGGCATCAACCAGCTAAAGGGAGAGGGCCCAGCCCAGAGGCCTGTGAGGGTACACAGTGAAGAACAGCTTCGTCACTCAAGAGAGGAGAACTCAACGTGAGGGAGCGCTCCAACATCCTGGCGCCATTCTTCATCTATGTCCCATTTCTAGTTAGTCTTGTGCCTTGTCTAGTAAAATACTCACTGCCTGATATTTGCCAAACTATCTGGCCCATGAGCATCTCCGTAGATTCTGCTTCAAACCGCAGCTGAGCAGGCAACCTCCATCCGTCCCCCACCTGCCCATGGATCTCTGACCAAGTTCTCCACCTACTGGTGACACTTGATTTTCACAGAATCAGGCATTAAACCTTGCCCTCACCAGGGCTTCAGCAACAACGGACTCTCCAGACCAGGGGTCCTCAAACTTTTTAAACAGGGGGCCAGTTCACTGTCCCTCAGACCGATGGAGGGCCGTTGGAGAGTGCGGCGCACATTCCACACATGCGCACTGTGGGCCCGGGACGAGTCGGCTGCTAAGCAGGACAGGCAGCGGCGGCAACAACACCAGGCGGGCCGGATAAATGTCCTCAGTGGGCCGCATGTGAGTAGTTTGAGGACCCCTGCTCCAGACTATTACATCAGAGAGAATGCTCACACCTCCTTCATCCCATTACTGCTAGAAATTTCAAGCTGTTAACAAAAACATTAACACCAGTTAGAGGCACTATCCATGCAGCAATAAGAGACTACTTTTGTGACAAGCCAGACCGTGATATGATCAAATGAGAAACAAGAATCAGCTTCTCGTCCTGGTGAGTGGGAGCCGTCTTGGCAAGAGGGTGGCGAGAAAGGCCAACTGCATTCCTCGTTCAACCTCTTCCTAACTCGGACTTGATTTCTCCTAACGTGTAGCCTTCGCATCTAGGATTTGGTGTTGTTATAAACCTCTGCATGTATATTGGGGAAGAAATAGCAAATCTTGGACATTTCAGATCATTAAATTATCACTTTCGTGACTTGTCCAAAATAGTGTTTTGAGAAACTCATGAAACCTCACTGGCTTTAGGTGACAAAAAAACCCAGTTTGTGGTAAAGTTGCTATTTGATTAGTCAGAAATGAAATTTTGGGTTAATGTTCACAGGATTTTTAAAAAAATCAATTCTTCAGTATTTGAAATACCACTTTGTAAAAGTAAGAAATGCTGCAAATGTGTTAAACTGGCTGATAAAATTAGGATGACAGTAATAAATTTTCCAATAAAAAAGCATGGTATAATAGCAAAATTACTGCAGAAAAACCACACGTTTATTGTGGCAAAACACAAAATGTTATATTTGCCTAATACACTCTTGTTTTGGAAGGTGAATAGTAATCCTGTACATTGCAGTTTTTCAGTGTTTGAAAAACATGAAGAAAAGATACTATGGAATTAAAGGACTATTTTCAAAAAACTAAGAAGTATATGAGT